GCTGAGCAGACATAGAGTTTAAAGTGAATTAAACTTTTGTCTGTATTTCTTGGTCGAGGAATTATCATTATTTACACTATTTATATTCCGATGACTGTCCTGATATTTGTTGATTTTATCTGAACGGTTCGGCTGTTGTACGCTTCCTCTTGTGTATATCGATCTGGGTAGCCTACAGGTAATTCTGGACTGAACCCTTTATTGAGTCTACGGGAGTACACCCTTTGCGTTCCACTGCTATGGACATCGTCTACTTAATTTAGTCCTGTTCGGTTATTGCTCGCCTGTTTCTAAGGAGTGCAAGTACACACTGCCCGACCCACGGATTGAACTGACAACCACTATGTCACCAAATTCACAAAACAGTGCTTGGCTATTGTTCTATAGGACAATTTGCTTTTGTAAACATAGAGCCTTAAATTTAACCTAGCTACTGATTAGGCTGCAAATGCTGCTGCTGCTGGTTGTCATGTTGTTACTACTGTTGCTGGACCATATTTTAATTAATGCTTTTACTAATGACTTTCTCTCGTTTATTTTTCTTCATTTCATTGTCTATTTATTTCAGGATCAGGAACTCCTCATAGCTTAGCATATGCGCCGATTCTGTCAGACGTCTAAATCGCCAGTGTTTTTCCTAGTCCTGTAATTTCACTTCATTCCACAGGGGCATACATGATCAGCCATGGCCGAATTCATTGTCTCACCTCTCATGACTTTTTGGTGTTCCCTCGGTTTTACTTTTAGAGGACGGCTTGTCTCACCTTTATATTCTCAGCTACAACTGTAATGAATCAAATACACACATTTCATGGTCATATTCTCCCCAGTGTTAAGCTGTACTCAACAGAGATTTTTTCAGCAGAGTGGAATTGCTTCTGAATATGACCCTGGTGGTTTATGGACTGGAAATCGTTTCTAAATATAGTCCGGATGTTGCATTAAAGTTTCTCGTGAAGAAAAACATTAACTGCGTGTTGTCCTAAACTAGATCCGGTTATCTAAAGAATATAATGTATGATAATCGTTTTTGTTTTAATATATTTACTTAATCTACAATCGTACGATTAGAATGATATGTTACACGTATCTTATATAAGAGAAACCCTTGTTTTCCAGCTGCTGGTCCAAATATTGTAGTTATATCAATGTAAATAAACACAAGTCCGATGTCTTTCTAAATGACTAAACGCGTCACACGAACTCTTCTGGCACTTAAATTTTTTTCTTGATATATATAAAAAAATCATAAAGCATTATCCCCTATATAAATTTATATTTAAAACATGCTAACCTACTTGTCGGAAATCCTCCTCTGTTTCAGTCTTGAAGAAATGAGGTGAACTGTGTGACTTCTCAATCTATTAGCCTATTAGCCTTCTACTATTTTTGATAAATTACTCGAGGCCCTAATCAACTTCCAAGTAATTAAGCCCCTCACAGCGCAGGGCCGTCTCCCCGACAAGCAATATGGCTTTCGCTTCTCAAATTCTGGTATACTAACGAGTATTACTGAAAGAGTCTATGCAGCTTTAGATAAGACCGAAGCTCGGGGTGTTGCGTTGGACATCTCGAATGTGTTTGGCAGTGTTTGGTACCGGTCTTCCCACTAATTGATAGACTACTGTATTTACGGTCGAAGTTCTTTTGATCTAATTGCGAAATGAAAGTTGTCCTGAATGGCCACTCTTCTAGATCGTTTTGTACTAATGCAGGTGCACCTATCACTCACTCATTAGATCTACTTTGTTTTTACTTTTCACCAACATGAATGATGATATCAGTTCTCAACTTGGCATCTATGTTGATGACATAACCAAATACTTCTGTTTCGATTAGTTGAAATTGACAGGTGATAAAGACTAACGAAGAGTGTGTTGTTAACTGGGGAAGGTGTGGTTAATAAATATTGTTTAATATTCTTTTGTTTTATATTATCAACAGCAACAGAGAAAATTATGAATTCATTTTCATCACGTGGTTACTTTTTCTTCCAATTCTACTCATCGATTTTTAAAACAATAATCATTGCCGAATATGAAGGTAGTTAAAAAAAAACGGTAACTTGGGAAAAACTCTCCTTTTCACATTACATCTTCTTGCGGCCATATTGTCAACGCTGAAGACGCTATGACCTTCAGAATGTACTCTGCTGTCTTAGTTATTTTTTATTGGACAATATAAGTTGTTTGTTTCTAGAACTGTTTGAAAGATAGATCAGCAGTCCCTACTCCCTTCATCCGTAGGTAAAGTTAGCAAACGTTAAAAAAGAAATCAGAAATCGATACGGGTCAATATTGCGGAAGCTGAATAGATCTCCCACCGGCAGCTTCGGCAGTGTTTTATGAACACGCTCCTGCTTAGATTTCCTTCAAATCTTCTACAAGATTTAGCCAACGGACAGGGTCAAAATATTTGGAAGAAGAAGAAAGAAGAGGAGAAAGTGAAGAAGAAGAAGAAGAAGAAGAAGAAAAAGAAGAAGAAGAAGAAGAAGAAGTGA